CCTTGCATAATATGTAGTATTTGTCTCCTTTAAAGGAATTAATAATATGCTACCCTGTACTTCCTATTGTGGCGCTGTGGGTTAATGTACCAGACTGCAAAGCCATTTGAACTACAAGGTCATCTGTTTAAGCTCATCTATACAGGGTCGCTATGGGTCAGAACTGACTCAACGGCACTTAACAAAAACAACTCTATACTTCAATTAAGGAGGAAGAGGGAATTAAATGTTTGATCTAGTTTCCCTTCTCTGATGGTATTACTAATAGCCTATTGTAGATAAAAGCTTGTAATAATGCTACAAGATTCAGAATAAAGCAATATTTTTAAGTTTACTTAATGTTCTTCTTTATTTTTGTCTTTTCAAGGTTGACATCTGGTCCTGAGAATACACTTTTCCACTACGTTGCCTTAGAAACATTGCAAGGGATCTTCATTACCCCTACCCATGAAGAGGTGGCACAACTAAGTGGCTCAGTCCATCCCCAACTAATAAGGAATTTCCATCAGTGTTGTCTTTCCATTCGTGCAGTTTTCCAACAGACGTTGTTGGAAGAGGTAGGGCATTGTTATAAATATAGTAATATCGTTTTCTGACTATTTCATTTCCAGATCACTAAACGTTGTCTCTAGCTCACTAATCAATATGTTCCAGCAATGACTATTTTCATTTTAGTAAACGTTTTTGTCACAGTTACCCGGTCTACTTGGATTCCAAAAGAGTTATAATCACAATATTTAACTTGAAAACGTTGTTTCATAATACTGAATTGAATGCCCTGTATACTATTTAAAGAACTGATATGGGGAAAACCAAAACAAAATCATGCTATCAAATCAGTTCCAATTCATTGTGATCCTATAAGATAGAGTAGAACTGCCTATAAGGTTTCCAAGGTTGTAATCTTTATGGAGTAGCTATTTGGTTGAAACTGCCAACCTTTGGTTAGCAGCCTAGTGCTCAATAACTGTGCTAATAGGACTTCTTCAGGAAATCAGAAGTCCATTTTTTCTATGCCAAAAGTAGAATACAGTAGTTTGTGCTGTAAATTAACTTCCCACAGTTAATATTTGTGTCTCAACAATTATCTGTTCAATAATAACAGCATCTACCATTTGGTTCCTAAAACACTGATAATTCTTCAAGTATGCAGTCAGCAATATAACGAATTCACGGAATATTATGAGGTCAGTATTTAAATAACATTTATAATACTACTATACTGTTTTTAGCCACTTAATTGGCTGGATCTTTTCTTTTCAATCCAGGATAAAATATTTTAAATTGTTACCTGTTGGATAAATGGAAATTCTGTATATATTTAATTTTTCAGTTGTTTTATTGTAGTGAAAACAAATCTACGAGAGCCAAAATATGATCTTGAATTTATCCCTCCTGAAT